TGCCCATCTCACAGCGGATGTGAAAAACATGGTGAAACAAATGAACGCTGTGCTTGCTGTTATTCCGGGAGGTCTGACAAAGGAACTTCAACCGCTCGACATCGGTGTGAACCTGCCGTTCAAAGTAATGAGTGGAAGTTGATCTGACTAGTTCTATACTGTCTCTCTGCATCACCTGCCTGACCAAAACCAACTCTGGCCTTCTCAGCATCTAATCATAACCACCGATATTAAACATATATAATTCTCAAAGTCTGAACACTAACACAATATAAATGTATATAAGGAATTAGAAAGCAAATGCAGCCAGTATTGACTGACATAAATGTTAACAGATAAAGCAGATTAAAGGTCTATGAATGGCAGCGTAACCTCCAAAAGGGTTCATTTTGGGCACTGGCTGCATCCTGCACCATCCCGCTCTGCTCCATCCAAATCTTTCTACTTTCTCTCCATCATAGTGGCCATTTTAACTCACTCCTTTTTTTTTCCATTGTCATATTTGGAGGGGCCGTTCCCATCTCCCTTCAGTGCAGCAATGCAGCTGCATTTTACGAGGTAAAGAAAAAGAACAAACACTTTAACAATCAGAAGATTTGGTTTATGAACCAGGCCCAGTTTTTTCTTCCTGAACCTCCACAGGCCACCCTGCCCTTCTTTAATTGTTCTCCGCTCTTCATCTGCCAATGGGAGTGCATGATTTTATCTACTTGCAAGGAAAAACGACTCAGCAGAAATCCGTGCTTGTGATAATGCAAAGCCCATATTTTCCTTCAGTTTTGACATTTCATGAAAGAGAGAGTACAGTAGACGAGCGGCCAAGTAGGGACAGAAATGATTCGAGGGAGGTTCATACATGTAAAAACATCACTAGTAAATATCTATGTGATTTTCCTGGGGGTTCTCACTGCACCACCCTCCCTTCCATTATTTAGGTTTAATGGGAGTGGAAAACACTGCTAACTCTGATTCATGAATGAAGAAAAACAATTATTCAAAAGTCGATATGGATGCACTTACAACTTTTCTCCTGGATTTACTTCTCCTTGCTCGTCGCTTCCTTCTTTTGACTCCTGTGCTTTCTGACTGACTATTTTTCCCCTTTGCAGATGTCTTCTTTCTTCTCACCTTTCTTCTTTTACCTGTTTAAACAAAAAATGTTTATTATCACCTATAGGAACTGGAGGCAAAAAACAACAAAAAAACAGTAATATAGCCTTTCTTCTTTAATATTTGCCTATTTTAATTCTGCATTCATCTCCTGTGCTTTAAGAGAAATTAAATTCTCTTACCAGGTTTGCGTCTGCGACTTGACGGGGCCCGAGGGGTGATATCCCGTACGTACACGGCCGTATTGAGCCCAGCAACCACAGCATTAATAGTTTCATCCAACCAAGTTGACTGCATCAGATACGTTGGAGCCAACTAGAAAAGAAATGCTTGTATTACTCTGACATGACCTTTCACAGAAAGATGCTCAGAAACACTTGAAGAACACACACTAAATGAGAAATGTTTTCACTATAACATTATCCAAACACACACCTTTTTAAGCTGTTATTACCAGTTAGTATCATCAACATGAAAGCACGGCATTTCCATTAAAACCAAACACTGCAGAAATGCTTTGCGTGAGTATTAGAAAATTTGCCAAGACAAAAGCATCATGCCAAACCTGTGACGTGCGTGCCTGGGTTATTCGATGTCGGTTGACATTGGCTCGGACCCTCTCACTCTGCTGAGTACGTGCGATAGCTCGGGTTGGACCAACGGTGCGAGTTTGAGACCGACTGGTGGCCGGCAGGGGAGTAGAAGACAGGCTTTCTGTGTCGCTAATCTCCTCAGGTGAGCCTCCTTAAGAAAAAATATTTACAGGGACAGATAAGCCTTCTTTATTTATTTATTTTTTTAAACACAGGGAGGCTAATAAAAAAAATATGGAAAACTAAAAAAAAAAAAAAAGAAAAATGAATCTCTAATCAAAATACAATACAAATAACATATTATATGACTCTCTCCGGGTACTCTGGCTTCCTCCCACAGTCCAAAAACATGACCGTTAGGTTAATTGGTTTCTCTAAATTCTCCTTAGGTGTGTGTGCGTGAATGGTTGTTTGTCCTGTTTGTCTCTGTGTTGCCCTGCGATGGACTGGCGACCTGTCCAGGGTGTACCCTGCCTCTCGCCCATTGACAGCTGGAGATAGGCACTAGCACCCCTCTGGACCCCACTTGGGAGTAAGCGTGTTAGAAATGGATGGATGGATATTATTTGACGTCATAGATACTGCCAAGGTTCCCAAAAGAATAGGCCCAGAGCAACAAAGATCCTCAACAAATTTCCAAACAGCCCTCATCTCTTCATGCCAGACACACCTAAAATCTCAATTATGTCTTTCATTGGACCTTGATATAAAGCAGCTGTAAATTAAGAGTTTAAGTTCTGAAAGTAGTTATAAGAAATGTGCCTTTGAGCTGTTTCTGGAAATTATTAAAAACTAAGGAAGGTGTATGCATTTTCAATAACTGCTATAATTCCTTCTCGCAAACCTGTGGCCTTGGAAGAGTAACTTAAAGACTTACTTAAATGCCGGTTGTTTGTTTCACACTCAGGACAAAACCATTCTTCTACAGGAACAGCATCGAGAGGCGGTGTGAGACACTCCATGTGGTACCTAGGACACAATTAAAATTTTTTGATGAAACATTTATAGCTTAGCTTTTTGAATGACCTAATGAAAAATATTATCTGTAACCCACACAACTGAGGCCTTGCTATGATCGGCACTGTTTAGTCTTTTAGAAAGAGTGGGCCACCAGAGCGCGACTCTCCAAGGCCACATTCTTATTTCGATTGTTTTAAAGAGATTTTTTTAAACTTTGTGCAGAAACAGTATACCCAATGGGTGACCTATTCTGTAAACTGCTCATATATCTGCAAGTGATGATTAAGTGCTTGTGAGGTGAAAAATCACAGATCTCCTGTTTGTTAACCCTTCCACATTAGCTTTTATTCAGTTAAAAATATGCTTAGAACATTTTCGACAACTTTATTTGACAAAAATCTCATCCATCTCACCCTGCATCGCAGCCATCACAGAGCAAGAGCTGGTCCTCGCGGTCGCTACCCCCACACACCTCACAGTTGGTTTGCTCCAGGTCCAAGTTTACCGTTTCCTCCTGACCTTGTTTCACAGGCTTTTGCACTGTGACCTGAATGCCACAATTCATAGAAATAGCAAACATGTTAAACAAGAGAAAAACAAGTTTTTTTCACTACTCAAAGTTTATTCAAAAGAGGTCACACTCACAATTTTCTTTACTTTTCCTCCATAAGATTTCCTTAGGTATATGTTGTCAAAGACAATGCGGTCCACAGGACACGAGTTTGCATTCTAGATGGATGAGTGAGAAAGATACTTGTTTGTTTCTAGGGGCCCTGTCACACCTTTCCGATTTAGACAGCGTATGCCCGACGTCCCAGAAACTTCTAAAAAAAATGGCATACGCTGAACTTACTGAATTTTTTACATTTTGGGCGTATGCATAGCGTATTCATAACGTGTCCAGAGAGTGTAATGACGAAGCATCAGTTAAAGCTGTTCCCCTCAGCGGCATCGCGGAACAGCGATGCACCTGGAGGTTCCCGGTCTGCATAAAAACCGCCCGCCCCCCCAAAAAAAGAATAAATAAAAAGAAAAAGACCGAAAGAAGGTTAGCAGTCGCAGGAGATTCAGCGTTATGTCTGCTAGGAAGCTTGTTGGGCGTGGGAGTGAACGCAGGGAGGATCCATCACACTCACCTTCTCGCTCACCCTAGGATGGGGATGCAGTCTGGAGAAGAACTGACACTTTTCTCTAGTGAACCCCCTTTCAACCCAAACACTGCCAATACGCCGTTATACAGTAGCTGTATGTAAGAAACACGTTCAGTGGTCTTTTGGAACAAGTCAGATACTTTGATATGCATTGGAGATAAGTTCTTCATAAGTTATGCACAAGTTACTCATAGATTTTGGATAAGCTAGACACCGTTGTCACGCACCTCAAAAAAATCCTGATTACGCGTCGGACGGTCGCAAACCCGCGCAGACCTCAAGCGGAAGTGCACAGACAAAAAGCAGCTGTGATTGGTCCTTGGTATGCCTTTTCGGCTGTCTGTGTGGTCGTCCTTCTCTATTCGGTGCTGGTGCGTGCCATTTTTAAAATACGTGGAACAATGGACAACTACCACGAAAGGTAAATCGAGGAGGTGCGCTCAAAACCTGTTCCTCTTTGATGTCTAGCAACTCTAGATCCATCTCCGTGACCATGATATCTTGCAGACGTTCCATTGTTTTGGAAGATAAACAACCCCGCCAGCGCCTCCTAAGTTCTTGTGAGTTCTCAAATAGGCTCCCCCTTGCGCTTTGGCGGGAAACTGCTGTGCTTCAATAGAAATTCCAGACCGACGGTGCAGAAGCATAACTAACCAGCAAAACTGGTTTGCCCCCAGACCCAAGCGTCATTTAATGTGTGCGGTTGCAGAAGTCTAATCTGCCCTTTAACGAATGTCAACGATCAAACAACCTACCTGTAACTTATGCCCCACGTATAGCATACGATGGCATACGTCGGGATATTTTAAGCAGGCTCAAAATTACTTGCCGCACTTGCCGTATATCGATGTGTGCCAGCGTGCTCGTAACTTATACAAAACGTACCAATAACTTATCCAACATATGCCAGCATTTTTGCCAGATTTTTCGTATGTCAGGCATATGCTTGTGTAAATTTTCAAGGTGTGACAGGGGCTTTAAACAAGAACTAGAAAGAATATTTCATCATAGATAAAACGACTAAGTCAGACTCACCTTAGTCCATTCTAGGATGCAGTCGAAACAGAAGTAGTGCTCACAGTTCTCCGGTGTTGCAACAGGCTGACTACTAAATGAGTTCAGACAAATTGGACACTTTTCTCTGTCCTCATCTGAGCTCATCTCTGCAAAGTCAGCAGAACTTCCCCCAAAGGCCCCCATCGCCTGCTTACCATCTTCCATCTCATCATTATCTGTAAAAAAAATAACATATTTTTTACTACATACACAACAGGTTTTTATACTGTGTTATAAAGCTAATCCACATCTACATATATGGTGGCAGTCACCATCTTCCTCATCAGTATCTTCATCCTCCTCATCATCTTCTCTATTTGCATTGTTTTCTTCTTCTTCATCACCACTTTCAGAGTCTCCCTCTTCTGACTCTTCCTCTTGATCATCAGAGTCATCTATATGAAAAAAAACAACATTAAATTAACTAAAGCTAGTTTTAAAACTCAAGGAAAGTTGGGGGAAAAAAATATGTAAAAGAAATAAGTTCAAACTCATTAAAATGACCTGAGATGGCCCACAATGCCGATCTTTTTCCTTTACTGTGAGATGAACCTCGGAAAACTTGCTCATCCTGGCTGTCGTCTTCATCCATGGCTGACCATCGAAAAAACAGCACCCAAACGCCTTTTACAGCAAATGTCTAAAACTGAAAGAAATCAGATAAACTTAGATTCAATGTAAAGCACTTTGAATTAAGAAATATATGCAAATATTCATATATATTCTCTGCTGATTTTAAATGTCTACATTGATGGTAATTTAAGCTGTACAGGCAAGTAATGTAAGGTAAGTGGGAGTCAAAGAGCATTTCCAGAGCCTTATCACCCGCACTGATTTAGCAGTGAGCCCCATCATGTGGATGATAACAATAAAAACAATTATAAAGAGGTTATCAGGATACTGAGGTCTTCAGTTATCAAACAAAAATAAATAACTTGCTGAACATTGTAAAAATCAGGCTCTGTATCAATCAACATGTGACCTCACGTACTTTGAATAAAAAAAACAATTCACATGGTTGTTAACTTGGATCACTTTGATGGCTCAGTCCTTATTTAATGAAAACTCTCTTCTTTGGTCCTACTCAGAAATTCAATAGTTTATTACTAACAACTACAAAGAAGTAACAATCTAATCAAGTCACAACTTTACCCTCAGATTAGATCAGATTTCTGACATAATAACGTTACACAGAAGTCACATCAAAATCAGCTCAAATAATAAACCAAAATAACCGCAAATTATTTAAACACTAAGAATTACTTGCATTGAGCAAACAGGCATTGTATATTTCATAGTTCAAATGTAAAAATATATTGAAGCCCAACAATTACTATATTAAATTCTTCATTAAGTTAATAAAAGGATTTAATATTGCCATTTGCTTGAGTAACAAAAAGCAAGTCTGTACAAGTACAAGATAAGTAGCAGTTATTAATGTATTTTTTTTACTGTTATTATCAAGTTACTTCTTCGATTTAAACAGTAGATGTCTTTATCTGGGTTAAAAATTCTATTTTTCTGTTTCAAATAAATAATCTCTATATCTTTAGATTAGACTTTATTTTAATGCATGAAGACAATGACATTACTAGCAACACCTGCTCGCACCCGGTCTCAGACGCCCACTTGATGCAGTGCAGTTTATAGGAGAACAATAGCCAAACTAATTTAGGCTTAGACTTGGACTCAACTTTATTTATCCCTTGGGATTACTCCTTCAGGGAAATATTGGTTCCAGTGGCTTATATAGAGTACAAAGAGTTAAAGCAAGATGCCATTAAAGATAAAAATACAACAGACAAGAGCATAAGAAAAATTTTAATGTCCTGGAATATGCTTCTTTAGAGATGAAAATAACTGCACAGTAAAGAGCTAAGGAAAGATTACACAGTAGTTGACTTGTATTATTGCACTTGCACTGCAGGGATGCATTTACCATATAAATGAGTAAAAAAAAAAAAGACATACTACAAAGTAGTTGACATTTGTTTTTGCACAGTGAGAGAGAAGAATAACACTCCCTCCTAGACATGGTATTGATCACTGTCACCAAAATAGCAGGGAAGTTTACTGACTAACCAGTTTTAATTACATTTAAAATCTAGAACAAGCACTGTTACAAATATATAAACAAATGAATAATACACAATAAGACCCAACAATATAACACTTAACCTTATGTGCATTTTGACTTGCTAAATATATAGTTTTGACATTTCAATTAATCTATTAAATCTTCATTTTTATTTGTCTCATAAATGATGCACATTTAATCATTTTTTAACTCAGATTTAAAGTCTGTATTTCAACACACCCATTCATGAATAACATTTTCTATCAGTCCCAACCATAAAAGCAATTAAATTCAGGTTTATGTTAAACTAGGCAGCTCCATTTGAACCTCCATTCCATTATCACCAGCTGTTAAAATGCTTTTTGTCACTTTGTGTATTGCATTTAACTAATGTTATTCAACGTGTAAGAGCTAACCAACAACAGCGTTACACAATGCGAATGCTACATTTGTAAACAAAGAAATTAATTCAGGATCAAATCGTTATTTCAGCAGTTTTTTACATAAAATAAACATACGGCAAAGATCTGCAAATGTATGCTTATTATATATGTCATGACAATAAAATGCCAGTGTTTTAAAATTGTATTTTTTTAACAAATGACGCTAGCTAGTCGTGTTAGCTCCATGGTAGCATGCCAGCTAGCCTCGGAGTTGCTAAAATTAGCAAACCTCTAGCCTGCTTCGATTCTAAGCGAAAACCAGTCAGTGTGTTGAACGCTTTACGCAACAATAAGCAGCTTTTTTTTTTTACACAAACGTAGAGCTACACAGAAGCATTTAAATATTTAAAACCTACCCTGTTCAACAGTGAAGGGTATGTTCGGAAAGGTTTGAAGTCTCCACTGTTGGTGACTGACACCACCGGCTGGCTGAGGACGGAAATTACCGAGTGAACTTCGACATATGAAACTCTTAAAGACACAGTACACCTTGGAGCCGTAAAGCTCCTCCTGCGTTTGATCTAAATAAAGATAGGGCCTCGCGTTAAAAGTTTTAAAAGAGTGGTATTTGAAAAGTATATAGCCGTGCTTAGAATATATTTTGCTATTCATTATTTTTGGAACAGAGGTCTTGAACGTTTTCCACGCCAAGTAACCCCAAGACGTATAGGATTATATATATATATATATATATATATATATATATATATATATATATATATTTATATATATATATATATATATATCGCAAGGGCGTAGGTTTGACACTATTGATCTGATGTCATTGGTCCTATGCAAAAATATGCATGCTCGTTTTTTTATGCTTGACGTGAAAATCAGGGTGTATTTTGTTTAAAGAGCAAAGCAGCATTTCCTGCTACATTTGTAAAAATTTCATAAGCACTCCACCCACTAGATGCTGTTTATCAACGTTTGGAGCATCATCGGCTCTGATGAATGAGGAATAAGGACTTTTTTCCACTTTGAAAAGGTTTGCATTTGAAATTACCTGCGACTGAGACAGAAAGTAAATCTGTGCCTATTTAAGAAAATATAGTCTAAATATGTCTGTTATATGTCTGTTATATGTGGAAATAATGGATTCAAAGGACACCAAATAAATCTATTGTATTTACATGAGCACTGGAACTGACACTGAGCATTTTGAATATTAATTTCACTCTACAAGTTATCTAGGGTGTAGTTACTCTATTTAACCCATGTCATATATTTTATCTTGCTCTGAAACAATTAATCTGAATAATCGATTATTGGAATGTCAAAAAATGTAGTACCTGTAATCGATTAATTGTTAACTGATTATAGAGACTCTAAAACATGTCTTTAACTCACAGGGCCACCCACTTAGAGCAGGAATTATACTAAAATTGTAAAAAATATATATATAAACAAAAAATGTTTTCGTCTCTCAATATTCTCCATCCAGAACTCCTCTACTGCTGCAACAAAGCTGTATTGTAAATTATAAACAGGTTATTCACATCTAATTGTTGGTAGAGACAAGTAGGTCGGTCCAGAATTTTGGTAGGGACATGTACCTATGGTCACTATGCAAACCTACGCCCATGATATATGAAAATGTGTTACATCAAACTGGTCCTATAGTATAAAAACAAAGTCTAATCAACCAAAACTTTTGCGACCCCAGACAATACCTCCGTGGACTCCAAAGGGGTTGCGGACCCCTTGCCGAGGACCTCCATTTTAGAGGGTAAATGCAAAAAAAAGAGGAATCAAGATGATCCAAGAATATTTATCATCAATAAAATCAACAATAAAATCAAAACTTACCCATCTTTAGCAGTCTATGAGAGCCCCCCTTTATGTGAAATTATTATATATATATATATGTATATTTTTTAACAATTTGACTCAAATTTGCATTGAATCAGGTGCATATTTGTGAGTGACATGTAGCCTAGTAAACTAGCCCCAGCTGCCAGCGGCCAAAATCATTTCTGCCTGCAATTTCTCTCTAGCTTCAATCAATGCCCTAGGGCCCTAAATCTGGCGGGCCAATCACAACGCAGAGATGTGTTTTGAATGGCTGGATGCAAAGCGGGCGGGGTTTTGAGGGCGTCACGACAAAGTTGCGCGATGCCGGAGAAAGCACAACAAGGAAGATGGCAACAACTATAGAACAGTAGCATGCACTGCGGCAGCAGCAGCTTTCAATAGAGCGCTCCATTGAAAGTTGAAAGTTTTCTTTCTGTTGCTGTTGTTTAATAAAAGTATGTTTTAAGATAATATTGCCTGAGCTACACAAAGAATCACAAAACAGTTTAGATATTAAATATGTGCATAGTATGATTTAATCCTTATGAGTTGGTTTAAGTGTGTTTTTAAATGTTTTTGAGTTTTGTTTGTGTGTTTGTGACTATATCAGCTAATAAATTTAAATAAGAATTAACCAATTTGGATTTTACATTAGCATGTAAAATCTTTAGGAAGTAAGAGATAAAAATGTTTTAAAATGATGAGGCATACCAGAAATTAACTAAACTGTGCTGCAAAGAAAACACAAACCACATCAGTGGCAAATGTACCAATAAAAATTTGTAAGTAGCTTTTGAAATATATTTCGTTTAGTATGTGATATATAGTATATACGGTATTTTGTTTATATTCCATGCACCTTTTTCTTCCTTTGGCACCTTCTTCTTCTCTTTGTTGACTATTTTAGCTGATTTAATGAGCACATTTCCCCACAATAAGACAAAATAAAGTCAATCAATCAATTTATTGAAATATGGTTTATTTTGGTTTCATTTCTGAAGATTTCAACACCCTAAGCTAACCAAATAATACAAAAAACAGATGACATGAGCCCTTTGACTTAATTTGAGATCCGTTGAATATGTCGCCCCCTAGTGGCCTACATGAATGACAGAATAAACTGTTACATAATAGGCATGCAAGTCCGGTTCGCCGTGAGGTCAAGTAATCCAGTGCGGTATGAATTAATACTACTACCACTACTACTACTACTAATAATAAAAATAAACAAGTCCAGATGTCTTATTTTTAACAGAATCCGTACAATTTAATTTATTTTAGTCATCACATGGGCCAGAGTTTTTAGTTTATAAAAATATATTTAAACAACGTTTAATTTGGTGTTTTTACTTTTCCATTATGTTTAAATGTAAATTATCCAAATTTCACTTAATTTTTCTTATACACGTATAATGTTGAGTTGATGATGTAAATAATTGAGTGTTCCCTCCTCGTCATCATCATCATCAGATCAGACTGTCATGCAGCATCCTTGGTACGTGCACAGCCACACTCCGCTCATGGCAACACAGTACACAAAGTAAGCCGAGTTCAACCACTCCACACCGGAGGGGTCGGAGCGCGCGCAGTCAAAACGGCTTTAAACCCACGCAAACCAGATTCATGTGGCGACCGCCGTGTTCCAGGATGTCTGTTTAAGGGAAAGGAACCTTAATCACACAGATGTGCATCACAATTGCGAAGCGAGGCAGGAAACTGTTAAGAAGGTAATGGTTCATTCCTGATGTACGACGTGCAGAAACGAACGCACCGCACCCCAACTACAATTCGGACATCGACAGAACATGCTGTCCTTGAACGCCCCACCCACATAGCTGCGGATACGTCATTTCTTACCGAAAGGCGGGACGATTGACTCCGGGGTGAGGTGTGATTGGCTGAACGGAACGTCGGTTTGTTCGTCATTTGCATAAGCAGGTCGGGTTGAGGATGCAGGGGAGTGGGCAGTACAGGGGGAATGTAAGTGAACTGAACTTCTGCGGCGGTATCGGCTTAAGAATAAATCTAAAGGCGCCAGACTTTAATCCTGCGCTGAGATTTTTGAGAATCAGTGAAAGAAAAAAATATATATATATTTTCATTTTTGTTTGATTTAGAATTTGGATATATCAGGACGTATCAGTTGGAACTGAACTTTTTTACACTATAAATATTCTAAAGAGAACTTGACTGGTAAGTATCTGTACATTTCTCAACATATATATATAGCCTATATGTTATATCTATATATATCTATATAGATATATATATCTATATATATATGATCTATATATACTTTTAAACAGAACAGATTAATTATTGTATTATATGTCAATTTGTTACATGTGTATTAATGTGGTGTTTAACCTAACAACTTGTGATAATGAAACTTTCTCTTTATCAATGAAAAAACAACATGATTAGAATCATATTCATTATATAGAATGATCCATACATCCTGAACAGGAAGTCAGGTCTGATTTCACTTTTGCTGATTTCTCTATTAGAGTGTTATGGCAATAGAATATATATATATAAAAAAAAAACGATCTACATTTTTTTGGTTATTATTAATTTCTTATAAAATATGTATATATATCCTGATTGTTTAATTTGATTCATTGAATGATAACAGTATTTGTTTCTCCTCTACAGAGTGTGTGGGCCTGCACGCTGTCACTATAACCTATGAGATCTAAAAGCAGGTAAGCCACTGACTAACGCACATTGTGCCAGTTGCCAGTTCCACTGTGCGTGTGACAGCGGCTAACCTGGTTTTGGGAAAACCGCTCACTCCACCTCTTCTTCAGACCAGCCTCAGCCGGATAAGGCTGACACCTATATGTACATGCTGTTCTAGATCATGTCCTGGGAAAGGCCTGCTCCACTCTAAAGCCCTCCCAGTGGTCTCTGCTTGTACTGAAGCCAACTTCCTACTCTTTTGAGATACCTTATTTAGGACCCAGGGGGCTTTTGCTTGCCTCCCCAGTTGACCTTACCATCACTTGAGGCTGCTGGTGAGTTCTTTTTCTGTTTCAGTTTCACAATTTTGGTTGTGATCAGTTTTCCTGTCAATGATGAAAAATTTGAGGTTTCTTTTTTTAGGCCACCTGGAAGTTAATGTTACATCAGTAGCAGTTTTGGATAAAAGAGATATTGCTTCCTGTCCAGAACACTGAAAGTTATTTATCAGTTGCTATCTAATATCTAACTAGTGCCTTAAGTGGTATTTAAACTGGCTATTTCATTGTTGCAGAGTTTCTCTACTTTAAGAGGATTTAAAACAAGGATGTGAGGGCGACAAAAGGTGTAGGCCCATTTGCTGAGGCCTTCAGACATCCTGGTTGCAGGATCAAGATGTTTTATCCTTCTATACTGTTTTCCAGTCTGAACTCTCCAAATAGATATAAAATGTAACCGAATATTTATTTTTAAAAGTCCGAAAATGGTTCTATGTTGTTGAAATCTAAATCTAAACCCTTTTATAATTATCATTTGATATAATGCCTAAACGTATTCATATTGTTGGGTTTTTTTTCTGACTTTTGCATAAATTTAAAGAATATTTGCCTCTTGTAGTCTTTTCAATGTGTATTTGTATGTGCATAATGTAAGAATTAAAGTTATGAATCAAATCACCTGTTGCATCATCTGCCGCTCATTTTGTCGTCACGTCGCGCATGTCTTCACAGAATTTAACATTTTTTTAAATTCCCACTTCAGTTGTACACGATGAGTCATTGTGACAGAGGAATAAGAACAAGAGCACATCCGTCAGGCTCTTTAACATGAGCTTCCTGTCATCAACATCCTACTATGGGACGTGCAGATGTTCACCCTCCTCCTCAAGGAGAGGATTGTTTATCCAGATGCTCATTTTGATCAGTTTTCATCTAAAAAAAGATAACACATAAAGCCATGCATAATTCCCATAATAGCGAGCCCTGAAAAAAAAAAAACAGCTTTATAATCTGATAACATCTCATTCTGGGGTTGGAGACTTCTGGGTTTAGTTTCAGTGTGAAATGTTTCTTACATACATAAAATAAAATCTAAAATTATGGAATTAATTCCAAAGCAGCCCTCAGATTTAAAAATTGGAATAAAACAGAAAGTGGGATACAAAAAAAACCCCATTTACATTGAGACAAGAATGCCTGTTATAACTCCCCGTGTCCACAAGAGGGCGCCAATGTTCCATTAGTGTTTGGTCTTGTCCAGACAGAAGAGACAAAACAAGGATTGGAAGCTTATCTAACCCTTGCAAATCCAGACAGTTGTAAACCTCCTCATAATCATCCAGATCTGCATAGTTAACAGTGTTATCACAGCTTTTGGGTTTTTATGCTTGCAAAGTAGAAATAGAGAACAACAAACATTAAAAAAAAGAGAAATAACATGGAAACATGATGTACCTGCCTGAGTGGTTAGAGGAGGGTATTTTTAGAAAACCACAGGGTATTAGATCGGGGTCAGTCAGAGCACATAGGGAGGTCTACGTCACTCAGTGTGACAGACAGCAGCGTTGGTCTCTAGGGTAAACAAACAGAGCAATGGGGTGGAGGACACAAGTGGTGCACTGGACCTAAGTGGCTGTGTATTTATCTTACATGATGACGATTTATGATCCCTGAGGATAAACTGTCACAGCCCAGAGTTATTTATCTTTCAGTGTTTCAAGGAGAGAGAACTCTCATTAATGTTCTTGGTTTGTTCATACCATTCTTCAGAAACTATTAATCTTAAATATAAAACCGCCCGAGGCGCCTCATAGAATTATCATACCTATTGATGTTTTTTTTTTTTTTTTTTTTTTTTTTGCACCATTACCAGAAAAATACTGTTTTTAATATTGTTAACAATTAAAGACATTTGCATCTACAGCTGCATGTCTTTTGGGGGGTTTGTCTCTGCACTGAAAATATTGTCCATTCGTCTTTGCAGAAAGTTCAAGTCAGAACTAACTTTCAGTTTCAGAATATCAAGTCCTGCGGTCCTCCTGGAAGCTTAACCTCTGACATATAGTTAAGTCTTTTGCAGATTTCCCACAGCTCTTCATCCAAGATTGCCCTGCGTGCAGCAATATGCAAATCACAATTATTTTGGCCTAAAAGTTCAACTTTAGAATCACCTGAGGAGAGTTCATTTTTCCTAACGCTGGTTGTGTCCTCTATGTGGCTTATTGGAAACTTTGAAAGGGAAGTAAGATGGCTTTTCTTCAAACTTGATTCTCTGTTGACTACTCTTCCATAGAAGACAAAATTCTCCTTTTAAAATCATGGATCTCAAAGCCCCTTCAGTTTTACCAGGGGGCCTTCAGTCTGCTGCTGAGTCACAGTAAACAAGATTGAATGCAATTTAATGTTTTCTTTGGGGAAAAAAATACATCAAAATACAATTTATTTGCTATTTTGAGTGACAGAACATACAAAAAAAGTTCAAGCAGTGTGAATACTTTTTTAGGATTCTCCTCGGAGCCCTTTGGTGATGCTGATGTGTTTCCTTTATTTTTGTTTAACTATCATCTGTTCAATAAGAGCAACAGCTGGGATCTTTGCCTCACTTCCTTCTGCATCAACAATGCACCTCAAGAGATTTCCATCAGTTACATATTAATGCCTAGAAATCATTATAAGAAACCATGAACCCATTAAACAGCAAGTGCAATCAAAAGTATACATACTTCATACTCTTAAATATATGTTTATTATACATTTATATGCAGTATTTTACTTTTTAATAAATGCACACTTGCATGTTAGTATATCCAAAAATTCTAGCTGCATATTTTTAAAAGCTTTTATTATAATCCTATTTTTTTAATAAATAAATAAACACTCAACAAAAGAATTTCTAATACACAATTCACATTTTATTATTTAAATACACAGTAATAGTAATAATCTCTATTGCTCAAAGATTCCTAAATTATTTTACATTTCGTACAGATACTTTGAAATGCTTACAGTAGCAAAACTTTGCAAATATATGTTTTTGTATTTATATAAAGAAAGTGTAAGGTGTATTAATATGGAATGGAAATGTTAGGAAGCAAAAAGGGGTTAAAGAAGATGCGACGGTGACAAAGAAGTGAACAACTTTCCCTTGGCCCTGTGGTCCGTGTTTTATCTCCATGACGACTCTCGGGATGTCAGGACTGTAAGAGACACAAAGACAAGTGGGGGATGATGATCCCTTTGTTTTGTTTGGGGTGCTTTTTGGAGGGGGTAACACATTTTTCAGCTAAGATACATCATTAGTGAATTGGATTCATTGGACAGGCCTGCAGGGAACACAGTAAGACAACAGCGGCTGCTGGGTTCATTCAATCGCTCATAGATTTTATGGATCACAACTCAATGATTGCTGTCAGAACATAATTTTGATATAAATAGTTGACATTAAATGAATTAATATTATCATTTGTCTCAAACCTAAAAAAAATCAACCACACAGCAAATGTAAAAGAGATGCACACAAGGCACACAACAGTTTGACCAATCATCACGCTCTGATGTTTTGTCAGATTTGTTTGAAACGGAAAATGAATGACTCTGGGTGCTTCTTCCCTTTTTCTTTTAAATTTTATGTCTGAGTGTAGCCACAAACTCCAAGAACAAGACGCAGTGACGCAGAAGAGAAATGCTCATCTTAAAATATTTTACAATCACGCATCGAAAAATTGAGACATTGATACTTATTCAGTACTCTAAATAAAACATGCGCAGTTAGATTAGATCTGGAATTTATCTAGACCAGGGGTGTCAAACTGATTCCAGAAAGGGCCGTGCGGCTGCAGGTTTTCTTTCCAACCAAACATAGCACACCAGACTCCATTCATCTCATCAAGTCATCATGTTCAGATTGGACTCACTTACTGAGATGGCTGGAGTCTGGTGTGCTATTGCTTGGTTGGAAAGAAAACCTGCAGCCACACGGCCGTTTCTGGAACCAGTTTGACACCCCTGATCTAGACCTTTCCATCAGATTACTTTATCTTCCCCATCCTGCTTATAAAGCTCCTCTGGAGCGTTGAAATGGTTTCCTCTCCCCGTAATCAGATCCATGCATTGTCACATCTGCTCTAAGCAGCTCTCCCTTTTCACTACAAAAAAAAAAAACCTTAGTCTAAACGCATCTGCTAAAAATGTCTATGACTTTATCACTCCCCTTTCTTATGGGAGTTCATGATGCAAATTAGAAGGTGGATTCATTTATTTATTGTGACAATAATCTCCACCTCAGTGGACTAATTATATACATATATATATATATAAGTCAATGAAATAAATCCCAGTAAAATATCTTGAAGTTTGTGGTCGACAAAAAGTGAACAATTTAAGTAGTAAAAGTACCTTTTTTAATTTACTGTACACGAGCCTAGCTCGATTCTATCGTACAAGGCATAGTGCGATTTATGACAGGTCAAACTGTTAGTGTGAAGTTAAGCAAAACAAGCAGGTACAACTGTCCCAGAGAACAAAAGGAGCATGTCAGTAAACCCAACATCTGTGGCTCTACAAGTAGTATTTTTAAACAAGAGTCTTGGTTAAAATAGACATCCCTGATAATTTCTTTGTAAGTACACAAGGCCAAATGGTTTAAAACAGGAGGAGAAGGGGAGTATGCAACACATTTGCAGAGCCCACAGTGAAAAGCTCTTGTTCTTTGGAAGTCAAGCATCACCAAAGTACAAGGCATTGGGATCAGACATGCCCTCACAGGTAGATTAATGCAATTATATTGGTCTTTTTTCCCCAAATCAGTAAAAAACAAACAGCAACACCTCAATCAAACCCACCATCACAACATCTGGCACAGTCATTTGCAGTGTGATCAATGGGTTACATTGAGATACAGAGAAGAAGTTGATTTTTTGACTTGAGGGCGGGAAGGCCACTCGGAATTACAAAGGAGGGGATTAGCAGCAAATCCCAAGATGCATTAAAGTATAACAGAAGCGGTTACGGTTAGTCCAGAAGCAAATAGTGTAAGGCAACGAGGACATGCAAGTACAGAGAACATAACCCCTTGTGAATTGAAGCTTAAAAGGATGTGAGAAACATTAAAAAGGAGAACGTGGAAGACTGCGTCAGATGTAAAAAGCTGTAGACAGGACTGAGGGAGAGCTGTTAAAGGAAAGCCTTTCATCTTGAAATGGCTGAGCAAAGGGAAGTTAAGAAGTAGGAGAGACCACCGGTACACATATAATTCGAACACCATTATTGAAAGCATCAGCCTTAAGCCCAAGAAAGCTGGAGTAGATTTAGGGGCGAGAGGCTTGGGACCGGGTGATGGAGACGTGGGAAGCAGCAGGGTCTCACACATACACACCCTCAGGGTTGAGACTGGACACAAGAGGGTTTTGCAGGTTCCGAGGATGTCCTAGAAACTGTTTGGCTGTCGGACGAGGGGGGAATTCCACGGGAGTTACACTGCGTCCTGAAAGGGGAAAAGAGAAAAATCATTGAGAATGACCAATAAGAAAAAAATACCTTACACTGTTTGGAGCGTCCACACTACCTGCTGCCAGTTCCAGCTGCTCAAGCTGCTCCTGCAGCTCTGTGCGTGAGTGGCTGTGAGCCGGCAGGACGCCTGTCTGCTGAATAAACTGCTGCAGGTTACACTGCCTCAGCTCCTTATTCAGATCTTCCAGCTCATTCTGCTTGGCCTGGATGGTGAAGATGGAGAAAAATAAGATATGATTGAACTGCTATTGGCTGGATGTGTCTGTTTAGTATCAAAAACATTTTTCTGCATCAGCTTGATTCATTAACAATTCTCAAAAGTACAAAAAAGCCCCCAGAAGAGGGCAGCAGAATCTAGAATCTAGAAAACGAGATCTAAATCGCTGCTGCAGGTTACTGTTGATGAGGTAATTACAAGGCTATTAGTCTGAGTCATATCTGCCTGATCCTATCAGTTTAAACATTATGCATATAAATATACACACACACACACACATATATATATATATATATATAGCAAGGCAATGATTGTCGACATCTATTGAAAATATAAAGTTCTACACTTCTCCAGAAAAACAGCCATCTTTACTCTCACAGTGAACTTTAATGCTCCCAAGCCAGATGTCAATCTGTTTTAACAGAAAAGCCATTCATCTTGAATGGCATGTCTGCACATTGAAACAAAATATGCATCTGTATGCTGTTCCTTCCTACCACTTTGCCGGCCTGTGCATGTGTGTGTTTGGATAATTGATGTTGGACTGAAAAAGCCTGCTGAGGCAGTTCACACCTGCAGGTCTGCCTCCATTAGCCCCATGATAGGAACGCTGTGCTCATCACCGGCAACATTTTAACGCTCGGCTGGCTGCCTCGACCCATTCCGCTGGCTGATGACTGACACAAGATCTTTTTCATCGAAATGGACTGAGCGTTCTTGTACCATTTCATGTTTGGAGTGTTAACATTTTTTAAGGAAGTGAAGGCTTCCTGTTTTTTCTAACAGTTACTGGATGTATGGCAATATCTTCATTATCCTACAATGCAAGCTGTGATGTCTGCCACTTAGTACAATATATATTGTGCTCACTGCCTATGGTGTAGTTTATTTTTGTCTTTCTAACTAAGCATTATGTTGGATTTCCCTTGAAATGTTTTCTGAATTAAAGGCACATAAACTTTTCTTTATACTGCAAAAAAAAGGTTCTGCTTCACATTTTTGACAAGGCTTTAATTGAACATAACCGTTCTCACTTCTGCTAATCCACCATGAAGGTGGAATTAATTTTAATTTAATCCTTTAGTCAATGCAAACTCAGCAAAAAGTACATGGAGCACATCTCCTCTTGGGATGACCAGTCAGCCTGTCATTTTTTTGTACAAAAAAATGGACTGTAAGGTTGTAGCTGTTGCTTTTACTATATATATATATTTTTTAAATTTTCCGGAAAGCATCTAATATCTTTACATTTTAAATTGTGATTAATTGACTTATGGGCTGCCTGACTTTCATTTGCAATACTTTATGTAACCGTTTTACTTGAGTAGCTTTATTTGGTGAAGGTAACTCTAACCTTTTATGTCTAAGATTATCATTTGTGAGGTTTGGTTGCAGTGACATTAATAGCTCTCTAATACATTACCAAATCACCATTATGGCATCCCATGACAGTTAATGCCCCATCCCTCATGTTAACTTTTCCGCACTAAATGTGTCTAATGAAGCTAAATACATTAAAATTTACACCAGATGTTGGAAACGCCCAAAGTAATCCACACATACAAATAAATGAAAAACAAATCAGTCAAAAAATGAAACAATGTGTTATAGATTGGAGTGACAGGACGTAAATATTGAACACAGGACGTAAAAAGAGGTTTAAATCGGCACAGAAAGCTATGGAAAAAAGCAAAGATCTGTCCATATTTACAAAGCAATTCTGCTTTATGTCAGTGCTGATTGACGGCCCATTTAAACACTATTCAACATCAAGGTGTAGCACAAAAATTGCATCAAGATTTCTGCACACTGACTGTTCCAGAGAACGATATTGAGACTGTCATCCAATTGTGAAAAGAACATAATTTCACCCTAAACCGACCATGACAAGAGGCTTATTACAAGGTTTCAGGCAGAGGAGTAAAAAAAAATAATAATCACATTAGTTGTCCAAGGACAAAGTGATGAAAAAATGGTCACTGTTGACGGAAATGTAAAAAGCAAAAGGGGAAAAGCTTGTTTGATTTTGATTTTCAGTACGAATACAGACCGTTGAAGCAGTGGCCTACACATACAAACACGCAATCATTATTATCATTTTCATATCATTTAAAGGCAGACCTTTCTTTGACAACAGTTCCCTCCATAAAAAGATGCATTTAGCAGATAGAGGTTAACTGTGATAACCAAAAATGATTTACTCGACTACAAACTCACTGTGCATGATTCCCCTGCTGAAGACAAATTCTTGGAGCTTATTAAAGTTTACTGCAGATCATTTAGACAAGCTACCAAAATGTAAACGGAGGTCAGTATGCATGCTCAGTACTTATTTCCTGTGTTATTAAAGTCTATTACTTATACCTTAATATATGGACTAAAAATCTATTTGATTTTCTGTTTTACCTCTGAAAATCACATGGCTTATAACCTGTTGTGAGTTTCATGTCAAGTAGCTCTGATGATATGTTCATCATTTATTTTATGAGCTGTGTGGGAGTTATGGGTTGGTCCTGCATGTCATTTGGGTTTTTAAAAAGCTCATATTTTCCTTTAAACTGGATTAGGCTTTTATGAGGACACCTCCGTCTGTGGCAATGACTCAAATTCAACAAATACAAAACAATACAATATGTTGAGGTTGAGTAAATCCAATAAAAAGGGCTTAAGTAATCCAAATAAATTCTTTTTAATCCCATTTTCTATACACAGTACAATGGAAGACATACAAATGTAAAGATAGTGTAAACAACATTGGTAGCCATGAATTTATAACATGAATTTCATTCAGTGATATACCTGCCAGACTGGTTTAGCTAAAGTATAAATACAACACTTCCATTAGCATGAGCACACAGCCATGATATCATAATACTAATAGAGTAAATCAGTTTTTGTTCAGAATTCATATTTCTCCTTTTGAATGTCTATTTGCTGTGATGTGTCTGCTGCATTATGCAGGTAGGAGAGGGATACAGATTAATGTAAAGTAAAATGGGGACAATCTTAACCCCTTTAAAGTCCTTTTTCCAAAACCGAGACCTCTCTCCTTACCTGCAGCAGAGACTCCGCCTTCTCCAGAGCTTTGTCAGCCTCTGACAACTGTTCCTCAAAGTCGCCCCCTTGCCTCTCCTGGATACGCAGCTCCGCCTTCAAAGCATCCAGTGACTCCTGGGCCCCGCTGGCTTTGCTCGCGGCTTGGCTCTCCCTCTGGATCTCTTGCTCCAGCTGGGCGGAGCGAATGGAGAAGTCATGGAGTCGCCGCCCGCAGTCATCCAGCTTGGCATGTAGGTCTGCCAGCTTTCTCCTCATTCCTCGCTCTTTTTCTACCTCCACCTGAAGTTCTTCCTCCCAGTACTGCTCATTCGTGAGCTGAGCTTGGTTCCTTCGCATTATTTGCTCCAAAGCATCAATCTCTTCTTGCAAATGAGAGTCTGACAATGGTGAGAGGTTTGGAGAGGGGTAAGGACGATCCCGGGAATGTGAATCCATCTCTAGGCCTTCTAACTGGTCCTCTAAGGCTCTCAGTCTCTCTTGTTGTTGAATAACTTTTCTAAACACCTCCTCCTTAGAAGGTCCAATAGGGGGTGAGGGAGAAGGCGATGGTGCATGTGGGGATACAGGACTAGGTGAAGAGGATGGAGAGGCTCTTTGTTCTGGGGAATCCCTTGGAGACCGCCTAAACTGTCTGACCTTGGTTTTTGGGGATGTAGATGGCCCCAAGTTAAATGTTAATGCCTTTTTAGGTTGGTTACGTTTCAAAGGCTCTGGCTCAGGATGCTTGGGCAGCGAAACTGGAGACTGTCTTTCTTGTTTTGAACTAGGTCCATCACTGCTGCTGGGCCCAGTACGCCGCAGGAAGAACTGAACCTCACTTCCATGTTGGCCTAGCTTGGCCAGAGACTCAAGGGGCTTCTCTGTGGCCAACAGCTGTCTTTCGGTGTCCCTTAAACGCTGAATAAGAACATATCGACCTGTCTGACCTGCAAAAAAAGATAAAAAGACAGAGTGAACACAGAGACATTATAAAGTTACTAAGAACACTTCCAAGGCCCCAAATACTCTGCAAAAAATGAAAATCTAAGTAGTTTTTTTCTTAAAATAAATGCATTTTTCTTGAATTCAGCAGGTAAGTGAGACACTTTGCCAATAGAATAAGACAATTTACATTTAAAATGACAAAACTACTTATTACAAATACATAAGCTCTAATTGTCTTATTCCAAGGGCAAAAATACTAATTTCATTTGCAGATTATCTAATTTACACACTCAAATTAAGGCTTAATACACATATTTAAGAACTTTCTACTCGTTTTTAGACCATTTTTGCAGTGTAGCTTTTTTTTAATCTTGTGTAAGAAAAAAGCACTTCTGGTCCAAGATCAGCTTGAACATCAAAAGATTGACATTGTGGCCTTTTTTTTTTGTAACACAGTCTAATATCAGTCAGGATGATTTGATCCAAACCCCAGTCCTTCGCCACTAGTGTCCTGCTTGAAAAAGAAGTATTCTTGATTTAATGTAGATTATCAAAATGGCTGAATTACCTTATCAGTTCCCTAATTATTTCACAGGGCACAAACAGCAAAAACTTTTAAAAGTGAAAGATAATGTCCCTTAAAAGCTGGAGTTGGCCAGCTCTGGTGTAAACTACTTCACTATAGCTCAGGATGAACGTTTGGGGTTGATGTCCTAGAAGGTGAACTCTGCCAATCTCCAGATTTTTGCATTTCTACGTTTTTTTGTACTAACTTCTAGTATCTCCTTTCTCAAACTGTTACTTTCCTATCCCTGCTCAAAAAGGGTGAATTGAGAAAAAAGATGGGTGTATAATACTTCTAAAGCAAGTGAAAAGAAAAATTCTGATAAAGTCAAGTTTCCACAAGGATCTGGAAATTAGGGCAAACACTCCCCGATGACTTGGCAGCAAGCTCACTCACAGAAGGAGGAGAGTCTAAATGTGGAGTGATGCTGTTTAATGCTGTTGCAGCGTGTGGCTAGCATTAAGCCTGAGGACACAGGGATGGACACCCTGCTGAAATCTAAGATCCAAAGGACTCGATTCAGGTCAGTGAAGAGGAGAATAAAGGTGCTAAAAAAACAGGACCTCTTCTCCCATATTTAATATTGTTAGAACACACAGCTGTATGATTCTGAACACAGCTAAAGTCTGACTGATATGGGCTTTTAGATGTAATAACAAAACATACAAATGCAATATGCATCAAAACCCTGGAGGCCAATGATTCAGTGACTTATTTACTCACCAATGGCTTGTGCCAAAGCGATGACGACATCCTGGCAGGAAGTTTCTTCAGACAGGCCGCAGACCACCCGCACCACTCCATCCACCCAAACTTTCAGCTCCATCTTAGACTAATTGGGTCAGTGTGAAGGGTTAGATGGTCCTCAAAGCAGATCAGCTCTGTTCAGCTTGCAGCACCTTACCGCTGCATGACCCTCTGCAAAATAATACACAGCAAAGGGAGAGAGAGGTGTGTTAGTGTGACTCAGACACTCTTTAATCTTCTAATTGTAAGTGGACTATACAGACTAATATCACCGCATAATCCTGTCTAACATATTACATAAATCTTGTTGATAGCCTAAACAAACTGAATCAAAGGTTATTACATACATAACTACCTCAGATAATATAGTTTTATTATAACAGTTTATACACCAAACAGTATTGACGTCAAAGACTTGCAATGTTGAGTGAGATGAATATACAGTGGCTTGCACAAGTATTATAAATGTATTCATTTGAATTAAACTGCTACGTCATTCATGGTTGGGAAAAGAAGAAAATAATCACATTTCATTTAAGGAATATTAAATCCAAACCTGAAAGTGTGGCATGCATTAGTCCTAGTAGGGTTAAAACTTTTAATGCAGTTACAGCAGAAGGTCTAACTCTTTTTTTTTTTATTTGTATTTTTGTTTTGAATGATAGCTTAAGAAAAAGCCACATTAAACAACAATTTTAATGCCTTGTCAAAGACACTGAATTCAATTTAGGTCTGGACTTTGACTTGGCTATTTTTTAAAAAATAACTATGAACTGCCCATTTGTTTTGGCTGCACATTAGCCCAGTTCCAAGTCTTCTGCAGCTTCTGACAGGTTTCCTTCCAGGATTGCCCCTTAGCACCCAACTCTTACTAGCCTGTCCATGAAGAAAAAAAAAAATATCCCCAAAGAGGCAAGATGATGTGCAGTGCCTGTTTCTAACAAAGAGTTTTACATGGAGATCCAAAAGATCAATTTTTTATTGCATCTCCCACCTGAGCTTTGGATCTCTGTAACTCCTCCAAAGTTACCTATTGGCTGCTTTCAGATTAATTCTTTACTTGCCCTGCTTGTCACATAAGATGCATTCATATGGTACATAGTATGATAGATTCATCATTCAATTTACAATCTAGATCTGTTTTAACTTCGGTACATTCCCTTACCTGTTTACTGCTGTATTTAATCTTAAAAATTATATTAATTCAATATAATCCAATAATCTATGAAGCTCTTACTCTGCAGCTGTATTAAGACTGAATTACACAGGATGGCACTCATTAGTAAACTGATGACTTCAGAAAATACTTGGTTGCACCGGAGTTTATGTCTTGTTGTCAGAGCTGAGGGAGTAATCTCTCATATTTGAACATTTTGTTCTTGAAAACATCAAAAAAACATTTTACTATGTTTTACTTTATAATTAGGTTATTATATAGGTTATACTTTGTGTTGTTTTATCGAATAAAATCTTAATAAGAAATCAAGATGGATACTTACCTGGTATTACTGTCTTTTATAGGTTTAAAGCCACTAACTGCATAGTAGAGTAAGGCAGATCTGATTGCTTTAAGAGCTTTAGCAGAAACCTGTAGACCTGTGAGCACAAATGCTGACCTTTAACCCCTTTAAACGCTCTGCTGACTTCCTTCAAAGCTTTCATGATAGCTTATTGCAGCAAAGAACTGACAAGGGAAGGCAGAACTAGGTATACGAGTTTGAGATGTGTGGGTGTTGGTGGGAGAAGAAAAACCCCAGAAAGACGATAAAGTGTCTGAACACACTAGGTCCAACTAGCCTCAGCAAGTTGGACCTGAACTGGATCTGAACTAAAATGCAGGTGCTGCATGTTTAACCTAAAGAAATATCATTATGCTCTTGCATCTTGTCTGTCTGTACTTTAAATGCTATACTTTAAAATGAGACAATAAATCACATCAGCACATTTCAAAACTGAAGTGCTGCAGGCAGTTATCTCCTAAACTTGGCACGGCAAAGGAAGTTTTTCTATTTAGGTGGCTCAAAGAGAACTCGTCAGATGGTGTTCTCTTTCTCTCTTCGTGGTTCTCCATGGGAGGTGTTTTAGTTTGAACGCCACCATTATCTTGGCCTTTATTCAAAGTGTGGCGTCGCTCCACTGGCTGCGTATTGGGAGCAGCTCCAGAGGAATGCATTGACTTCATCTTCCAGCCGGAAGAATTCCTGCTTTCCTTAACAAAAGCCCTTAACTCCACCTCTGTTCCACTGCTGACCTGGTTGCCCTGCACCACCATTGCTCTACAGTGTTTAGATGCCAAACACAAAGTCTCCCGGGGAGCAATAAACTATCTGATGTGACAACACGGCACAGTACAACTCAAAACGACACAGCGTACAGAACAAATAACGGCATGACTCAAGGATTGAACTTGTAGAACGAGATCTTTGGAAGACAAGGAGACGGTGGTGGGTGATCACACAATGAAGGAATTCATTTAATGGAGGCTGGCAAGGCAATTTTATCTGGCAGGAAATGTGATTTGAAATAGGAGTGCTTATCAGACATCAAAACCCTGAAATTTCAAAAGCTCAACTACACCATTTTCTTTGAGAGGGCACAGAGTGTGCAGTGTTGCATTCTGGGTGTCTCATAAAGTAAGCACAGACAATCATTCACCTCCTTGCCGAAGCTTTTTGTTAGTTCAAGAAATCAGGTTAAAGGGAGATAGATGTTTTTTTTCTCAAAGATCAGATCAGATCTGCTTTTTTGTTTTTTAACACACATAATTGATTTGAATATTATTTTTAGCTCTTTTCTACATATCACAATGTCTAAATGCAAATGTGTCACATTTGAGTTTCGATATATTAGACAAGCATAAAGTAACACACAATTGTAAAGTGAAATAAAAGGGTTACCTGTATGCTTACTGTTCGTATTTATCCTCTGTGGGGCAACATTTTGTAGAACTACGTTTTGCTGCAACTACAGCTTGAAACTAAGCTGTGAATGATTTCAGATCCAGTTACAAGGTAACTCTATCAATCTGGTGGCCTTTTAAAGGCAGTTGGTTACACTGAATTGTACTTTAGGGTATCGGATCTAAAAGGGACCAAAAAGATATGCATACATTGAAAAACAAAAAAGAGCCCAAATCATTGGACATTTAAATCACCTTTGCAGTGAAGGTAATATTAAAACTATACAAAAAAATTTATTATCCTAAGGAGCATGTATCATAGTTTCACATAAAATCTCTCAGCTCAGATTATTTTCCTATAATCCTTCGCTGTCGTACCTCTTGCTATTTAAAAGGGATAATCTGCACTAACAGGAAACAAACAGGTGTGTGAGTCTCGGGTTGCTGTCTGTTCCTTTTATTCACAAGCAGAATGATACTGAGAACGACACGTCCTCCTGACACAGCTCCGGAGTTTTGTGTCAATTCCCAAGGAGATACGGGTATAAGGGGAGGTTCTTCTGATGTACAAACAGTACATCGGCATCAATCATCTACAACATTGACTGCGGTCAGATTAGGGTAGAGAATAATACATAATCCAAACTTGTTCAATCAAAACCTTTCCTGTCCTGAAAGCTCTCCGTTTAATGTTTGACTTCAAAGTTGATATGGAGCAAAAAAAGTGAGCAAACACATGCTCCAGGTAGTTTGCACAGGATCTGAGTCATTACACACATGCTCACTCTTATCCAAACCATAAAAAATTACTTAAAGCCCGCACTGTGGCGTGACTCACATAGCAACACTCCACACCTCTCACAACCAATTCCTAATCACAGGTTGCAATAATAATACATTGGAAATTGTTGTCTTGCAATAATTTCCAATGGGCTAAATCGACCCACCCCCACCGCCCTCGACTTTCACCCCTGCCCCACCCCTCCATTCAACAGAGGACACAGTTTCAGCTGAAACTTTAACCTCCTTTAACTCTTCTGAAAGGGGAAACAACTTGCAGGTAACTGACAACCCTGAGAAAAATCAAAAGTCACACTCTTTCCAGTATCATGCAATATGAAGAGAGAAGAATGACATGCTTGAGAAACTTGTCTGTTATGCTGACAAAAAGACTGACAACTTATCCCAGATGTGTGACGAGAGGCAGTAGAAGGCAAACTAAAAACAGACATATAAAAGAAGAGGAAAAACTAAAAAAAGACTGGAGCCATGTGCCATCACCTTCTCCCCCTTTAATTAGCAATCAAGTCAGACCGCTCTTTGTCTTTCATCAGCCTGTCTGCGTTCTGTAAAAAAACCCAGTCGTCTCAAGGCAGAGCTGGTTAGCACCGCGGCCTTGCAGACGCTTGGGGCATGACTCTGCTTGTCTCTGTGCAAGTGGGCTCATCGAGCTGCAAATTAAAAGACCTTTCGAAGAACAAAACCTGAAAAATCTACCACCAACTAAATTTACAGGTGTTTACCCAAAATATCTGGTCTTTGTTTACTAGTTAGGTGACTTCTTAGCTCAACAAGTTGTACCAAAATTAACAACCAATACCAGGACGAACCCCTTTTTTTTATTTAGGAGCAAATCGGTACACGAGGGATCAAAAACGATTAACTTTACCCTGATAACATGTATTATCAAATCTCATTGTTGACCTGAAGAAATGAAATGTTGATTATTTAAAAAAAAATGAAAAAAGTATTTGCTATTTGCGATACTTAAAACACTAACCTAATGGATACTGTTAAGATAAAGCCTGATAGGTGCTTCTATAAATAGAATACAATTAAACGTGTGGCTCTAATGTGACAAAATGGGAAAAGGATAAAATTGTATCTTCAATCGTAATGAACTTTTTGTACATCTGGAACAAACACATATCAGTCAAAAGACAAAACAGAAATCCTCTCACCAACACCTCCAAAGCTGAAAACGAGCAAATCCTGTATCTGGACATACCTCTACCATCAACTTCCTTTTTCAATAAAACAAAAAGCCAAAAAGAAATGTGTTCCTTCGACGTGTTGTAGCAAGTCAGTGCCCTAAGGCTATAATATGAGTCTGCTTGCTAGGTGTGTAAAGTGGTGAAAGAAAAAAAAAAGAGCACTCCTTGATGCTTGTGGTAGTGAAATGGTCAAAGGTTGGGTTTGTATTCATTTAGGTTTGTATGTACAAGTGCACATGCAGTCCTATCTTTACGAGAGGCTGCTCCAGCTTAGGGTG